GGGGCGGGCCCCAGCCATTTAAATTTAAATGAAGCCGCGATTATTTTAATCGCGGCTTCATTTCCCTTTTCCGATCTGGCTAATCTACATGCCTCCGTCGACGGAGGCATGGAGTCTGGACACAGCCTTATTGTCCTTCCCAAAATGGGGGAGTGGAGCAGGGGGGAGAGAATGGAAGGGAAGATAAGGGGAGGAATTTTTCTTGCTTTCATCAGTATTTTCACTTGGAGCCAGATACAAGGTCAACTGATATGAACTGGAGTTCTTCCCCTGACTTCAGTAATCTTTGGATCACCATCTTGGTATTCCTACTCAGTATCCTAGCTACACCACAAGCCCCCTCCCCTCACCCCATGCATTGAAGCCATTTTATAACCATGAATCTTTAAAAATGATTTTTTCGTTTACTATTTGCTGCCATAGTGGATGGAGCATAAGTTTCATTTTACCCATTCTTAAGCTAAGTTACTACATTACAGTATTGGATATGTGTTCATGATATGTACATATTGTAGCAAAAGTAACCTTGTGTCAAGAACATTTTTAAGAGGAGTGTAGTGTCCATATTGGTGGAAAACCTGCAAGCCAAGAACTTGTCAACTGGTTTAGAACATGCATGGAAGCAAAGAATTTAGATGGTAGCACAAGGTAGGATTTAATACACTCAGCTGCTGAGCCTTTACTTCACACTGCCACCATGTGCTCCCAAAATAATTTGTCTCCCTCCACTGGCCAAAGTTTCACAGGATGTAGAAGCAGGGATGTCTGGTCATCTGAAGAAGTGGGCTGTGCCCATGAAAGCTCATGATACCATCTACACGTTTTGCTAGTCTTTAAAGTGCTACTAGACTATTTTGTTGTTTTTTAAATTTTTCCTGTTACAGACTAACTCGGCTACCCCTCTGAAGAATATTGGGAATCATTAGGAAAGAAATAGATAAGACAAAATAACATATTGCCTCTATTTAAAGGTATTGCATGCCCACATCTTGAATGCTGCATGCAGATCTGGTCACCCCATCTAAAAAAAAAAAGATTTATTGTATTTGGAAAAGGTACAGAAAGGGCAACAGAAGTGAGGAGGTAAAGAACAGCTTCCATATAAGGAGGGATAAATAAGACTGGGACTTCATCTTGGAAAAGAAATGATTAAAGGGTGGAGAGTATGTTAGAAGTCTAGAAAATCATAATGTTGTGGAAAAATAGAAAAAAGGAAATGTTATTCCTTCCTTCACTTACATAACACAAGAAGATGACCCAATTACATTTATAGGCAGCAGATTAAAACAAATAAACAAAATATTGGAACATTTTGCTAAGAAATGATGAAAAGGCGCAAACTATAACAGGGTTCCAATACGAACAAAATAAGTTAAAGGAAGATCGGTCCATCAATGGCAACTAAGCAGAATGGCAGGGATGGTGTCCCTAACATCTGTTTTCCAGAAGCTGGGAATGGGCAATGGGATCATGAGGGTTGCTTGTTCTGTTTGTTCCTTCTGAAGCACTGGCATTGGCCACTATTGGAAGACAGAATACAGCGCTAAAATGCCCTTTTATCTAACCCAGTAGGGTCATTCTGATGTTCTTTGAGGGTATGTCTACACTATAAGACAAAGCTGAATTAAAATATGCAACTTCACCTACATTAATTGTGTAGTTGAAGTCGAAGTTGCTTAATTCAGCTTTTGGCACTGTGTACACTGCATGAAGTCAAAGGTCAGTCTTCCTTTGACTTCATAGAATGATAGAGCTGGAAGAGACCTCGGGAGGTCATCAAGTCCAGCCCCCTGCTCTAGGCAGGACCAATCCCAACTAAATCAACCGAGCCAGGAGATTCCACCACCTCTCTAGGTAACCCATTCCAGTGCTTCACCATCCTCCTAGTGAAACAGTTTTTCCTAATATCCAACCTGGACCTCCTCCACTGTAACTTGAGACCATTGCTCCTTGTTCTACCATCCGTCACTACTGTGAACAGCCTTTCTCCATCTTCTTTGGAACCTCCCTTCAGGAAGTTCCCGCCATGAGGGCAGAGGGCTGGACTTGATGACCTCTTGAGGTCCCTTCCAGTACTAGTATTCTATGATTCTAAGTTGAAGGCTGTTATCAAATCCCCCCTCACTCTTCTTTTCTGCAGATTAAACAAACCCTAATCCCTCAGTCTCTTCTCCAGCCCCCTAATCATTTTAGTCGCCCTCCGCTGGACCCTCTCCAATGTGTCCATGTCCTTTCTATAGTGGGGAGCCCAGAACTGAAAACAATATTCCAGACGTGGCCTCACCAGAGTCAAATAAAGGGGAATAATGACATCTCTGGATCTGCTGGCAATGCTCCTCCTAATGCACCCTAATATGCCATTAGCCTTCTTGGCTACAAGAGCACACTGTTGACACATATTCAGCTTCTCATCCACTGTAACCCCCAGGTCCTTTTCTGCTGAACTGCTACTTAGCCATTCAGTCCCCAGCCTGAAACAATGCTTGGGATTCTTCTATCCCAAATGCAAGACTCTACACTTGTCCTTGTTGAACCTCATCAGATTTCTTTTGGCCCAAACCCCTAATCCAGTGTTTCCTGATTTTATTTGGCCACGGAACCCTTTTCAGCTTAAAATAATTTCAAGGAACCCCTAGAGTCCCCAGAGTAAAATTTGGCAAGCAAAAAAAAAAAAAAGAAAAAAAGCCCCGCCAGAATTGGTCGAGCAAAAGAACCTGCAAAATACTCTGTCTC